AAGAGAGAGAGAAGAATAACAATACTTTTGGGTAGGTAACAGAAAACCTACGTGCCCTCTCTCTCTCTACAGACCAAAATGCCTCCCCCACCTCTCTCTCTCTCTCCCTCGCTCTCTCTAATATGGACTTTCAGGTGAGGGAATACTTTTACAACATGCTAAAGAGGGAGCACACTATACAAATAGGGCTTCCTCTAAAAATATTTTATATGATCTTCGCATCGTCGGTAGGCGCCATTCCTGCAGTGCAATGGCAATGGCAATGGCAATGGCTCTGACAATGGGAACGATGACAACACCCACCTCACACCTATCTGCGTTTGGGCTAAGGAAAACCAGAGCCCTTAAATACTGATACACCCCCCTCTCTCTCGTCTTCTCTCCCAGAAATCCCACAATTCCAGGGTAGAAGGGAAGGCCGGCCATAACCAGGGCTGCCGCTGAAACACAAGACTACGATCCAATGGCGGAGCTTCGAGCCTTTGACGAATCGAACTCGGTGTCAAAGGCCTCATCGATTCGAATTCCTCTTCCATCCCCAGCTTCTTTGTCCACCCTCCTGAATCCCGGGCCATTCCCACAGTCGGTCCCGTGCCTCGGCCCTGATCCCAACCATTGACCTCTCCGCCCCTCATGCTATCGCGGCTGCTCAAATCCCCCAAGCCGCAACGTTATGGGGCTTCTTCTACCTCATCAATCATGGAAACATTCCTTTGACATGGAACCCATAGGAAGGCTTGGATTCATGGAAACATGTCCTTTGACATGCAGCCCACTTGAAGAATTGGATTTTAATCGGAACTTGGCATTTCGAAATAGAACCCAAAGAGGCGTCAACAATTTATATCGGATCCATAAAAAAGAGCCTATACATTGATTTGACATAAAAATAATCCGTCCCTTTCTGATTCCCATATGATAAAGTCTTCGTTATTAAAAAATATGCAAACTTAATCAAGTTGTTGACGTAGATTATGAAGCTGCAAAATAACTATGTCCTGTAGCCCATTGTAGCGGCTCCAGACCATACAATTAAAAGGAAAAAGGGAAATCAACTCTGAAAGTTTTAATAGAATTTTCAATCATCTCTAAATCTATAAAAGTGGAGTCAATCTTGCCTTTGATACTGGTTTGTTTTTTTTCGATAGATGAGTTTGTGCTTTAGGCAGATTAGCTTCTTATGAAAATGGAAGTCAAAACTACTCAAAACATAACAACTATTCCAAATATGATTGATGATATCCACAACTTTAGGTTTATCCAGTCAGTGAATATCAAAACAAAAAGGTCTGAGCCCAGATAAGACCTCCTCAGTATGAAAACAGATATGGAGGTGATCAGAAGAAAATTTGATAAGAGCATTAACCTTAACCAAATGGAATACTATGTCCCAAGCCTCTGAGACAAGAAAGCGATCAATCTTTGATAAAATTAGATTGGAAGAATAGTTATTGGATAAAGTAAAGTGAGCTCCAATAATAAGAAGATCTAATAAATCATTCTCCATAATGAAATCATTAAATAGATACATATGAAAATTAAACTGAAAAAAATGAAAATTTGGGCGCATAAAGTTAAAAATCCTCTCCAATGCAAAACAAGAAGTCCCGAAGAGGAAATAAAAGTTTTCAAATAATAAAAAAAAGGCACCTTTAAGGGCAGTCACATTACGCCCATGAATATTTTAAATCTACCATGGATATTTTTGTTGCCAAAAGTACTTTACGGACTAGGATTTGAGATGTGGTTTTATTTTATTTTTATAAAGCCTAGGCCATCTAGAACTCATCCCAAGCTTTCAGGTGGGGAAGTATTTGACAACGTGCTCCTACAGTGGGAGCACGCTATACAAGTAGGGCTTCCTCTCCAAATATTTTATGTTGCCTTCTCACGATAGGCGCCATTCATGCAATGGCAATGGGAATGGCAATGGCAACTTATTCCATATAAAGCAACAGAACGGCGACAAGGATGACATGCAATGGCAATGGCAATGGCAATGGCAAATTATTCCATATAAAGCAAGGGAGCCGCGACAAGGATGATAGCACCCACCCCACACCTCTTTGCGTTTGGACTTGACCCATAGCGGTCAAGAGAAAAGAAAACTAAGCCCTTAAATACTGATACAGAAATCCCACAATTCCAAGGTAGAGGAAAGGAAGGCCTGCCAAAACCAGTGAGAATGGTTATCACCAACGCCGCTGAAACACAAGATTACGATCGCATGGCCGAGCTCCGAGCCTTTGACGAATCAAAGCTCTGCGTCAAAGGCCTTGTCGACTTGAATTCGCCTTCCATTCCCCGCTTCTTTGTCCACCCTCCCGAGTCCCGCGTCATTCCCACGATCGGTCCCCGTCCCGCACCCCTGATCCGGACTGTTGATCTCTCTGCCCCTCATGATATCGTGGCCGCTCAAATCCACCAAGCCGCATCATCCTGCGGCTTCTTCTACCTCATCAACCATGGAATCGATTCCAACCTTCTTCAAGCCACGATCGATTCGGTGAAAGCCTTCAATGAGCAGCAGCATGCCGAAAAGGCCCCTTACTACAGAAGAGACCAAACAACAGGGGTGGCCTTTGCAAGCAATTTCGATCTGTACCAGACCAAGGCGGCAAGCTGGCGCGACACACTACAGGTGATCCTGGGTCCAGTGTCTGTGGACCCTGGGAGCGTGCCCGAGCCCTGCCGAGCACCTCTTCTTGAGGGGGCAGAAGAGGCTACCAGGGTCGCGGAGACCCTGATGGGAGGGTTTAGGGTTAGGCTCTGAGTTTTTGAAGGGGATGAGCGGGTTGGAGGGAAGGCATCTGGTGGCTCACTGCTATCCTTGGTGTCGTGAACCGGAGCTGACGGTGGGTTTGGTTGGGCACTCGGACGGTGCGGTGTTGGGGGTGCTGCTGCAGAACCACGTGAGCAGGCTTCAGGTTCTCAACGGCGAGGAGTGGGTCGATGTGCGGCCGTTGCTTGGTGCGCTTGTCATCAATGTTGGGGATCTCCTGCAGGTTCGTAATTTCAACGGAGTATCAATTTATGTTTTTTTATTATTTGGAAAATTACTAACCCCCCAAAATAAATAAACTTTTTAAAACGCTAGGTCATGCGGGCTGAACCGCATTTATACACATAAGGTCGAGAAAGTGTAAAGCATCCCGCTTAAAGATGGATCCAAGTAGGTATTCCATCAAAAAAAAAAAAACAAATAAAATTAACAATTCAAATGTTTTTTTTATTATAATTATTATTTTTAATTTTTTAAATTTATTTATTTTTTCATATTCATGATCTCTATGTTAGAGATGACATGTCTTTCAAAATTAAGTTATAAAATCCATCTCAAAAATAGATTGATTAGGAGGCCTTCATTTTCTATATATGCAAGATTGGTCGCATAAAAATTGGGTCCCAAAAAAAAATCTTTTTTTTTTTTTTTTTTACAACTACACTTAAATTAAAAAAAGCACTTTTTTTTAATCAAAATATCTCCATTTGACTTCTATGTACAATACCCTTTTTATATATATTTGAGGCAAAAAAAAAAAAAAAGTGCAGGACCGACCCAACATAAAAAATGTGCCGGCACACTATTTCATAGTGAAGGACCGGCACTATGAAAACGTGGTTACATTGCGGAGAGAGGGCTATTTTGGTTATAAATTTATTGAACTTTTGATGGAAGTAGAAGGGCAAAAGAAAATAGTACCAGTTTGTTTACTGTTTTAACATGTTGGGAGGAGGATATTTAGAAAGTTGAGTCAAGAGAGGATTTAATAATTTTTCCATTTTTTTCTTTTGGGTTGAACGTAGTGTCCACTAAATTTGTATGGTAAATTTATGAGACCAAACCATAGGCATCAGTGTTCAACATTTAAAAAGATTGGAAATGAAGTTGAGGTCATGGTCCTTACCTACTGGTCTAGTTTTTATTTTTATTGACGTATTAAAAAACCGTTAATTATTTTTAAAAATGGGCAGGGACAAAAAAATATTTAAAAGGTTTTATTGTCGTGCTTTAGAAATGAAGAATTTATGCAAAAGGTTTTGTTATCATCGTCCAGCCCTTCTGAAATAAGTGGGGCAAGAGAAACGGGACTTACTCATACTAAATTTGTAGATGAGTTATGTTTCAAAATCAGCATGAGTGTGTTTGATTTCTAGTAGACGTGGTATTGGAAAGTGTTTTCTAAGGAAGTGGATATCAAAGTTTCATGGTCCCTCGATAAAGCAAAGCCGGTTTTTTAACTTTAAATAAAGTGGATACCTTGATATCCACTTCATTGTAAAACTCCCCCGTTATCAAATAAAGAAGTGGTACAATACTGGAAAACGCAAATTCGCCTTCCCAAAATCAAACACGACACATGAGACTTTAACAAGAAAACTCACTAATGTCGGAACCTGCTCATGAATAACTGCCATTTGCAAACTGGCTTAACAGTATCATGCACATCAGATCCTTCTATTAGGGAGCGTTATTACAATAAGGAAAACCATCTCTATATGTCCCTACTCATATGTGAAAGA